TTAGAGTTACCATCGTTTTGATGAAACTTTTACAATATATATATAAGTATTCTAGAAGAAAAGGTAAGTACAAAATGTTCATTTTAAGTTATGCCACGTCAGATGATTTTTTTTCATTGTCAAATTGGACAAAATTTTTATCAAATGATTTTTTCGTAAATCGTTAAATAAACAAAAAGGCTTTTGTCAGTGACGCACAAAAGGATTTAAAATACTTATGTATTTTGCAACTCGTAAAATTAAAGAAATCGCCACACAGCTTTTGTGGCATATTTACCGAATTAGTGCAGAATCATGTTTAAGGTCAAAATTTTAGGTATTTTAACGCTAAGAGTTTGTTCTCAGGCATTTAAAACCCCAGCAGTCCTCAAGTCATATAGGCGAAATATTAAAAATGACTACAGACAAATTTAAAGCAAATACGATTTTATTGGATATTACCAACATTAACAACGATCAAGATAATATCTACCACGAGAATTTAGCACCTTCTGACATTTTGCAAGTTTCTGATTAAATGTCCGAGGCAGAAAACCCTATTAAATCATGTCCCAATGAAAAGCCTTGACTCTTGCTGTTTGTAATCCTAAAAAATCTTATAAGAATTGTTTTAATCGAAATGTCTTCAAATATTTTTTTTCCGTTTTTTAGTTATTTTATGCTCTTTCAAATATTTATATTTTTTAAGTTTAAAATATGTTAGATGGTTGATGTTTGCGTTCTGTGTGTAACTTTGATTTAATTGTGTGTGTTGTATTATATTAATTGCTGTTTAAATAACAAATCATCTATCGTAACCCTACAAAATTTACAAGAATTTGTTTTTTTCAGCACTAAATATTAAACGTTTTCTACAAAATATTCTTGTTAGTCTTTTAAATTATTTGATTTCAACTTTTTCCACAACAACGGGGTAATCTTTTAATGACACATTTGTATAAAAAAATATGACACGGTGCAAAAATATCATAATTTAAAAAAAAATCTCCAAAAATATCACAATTGAAAATATTTTTTTTAGCCATTTTTTTTTCGTTAAAAGAAATGTTTATTTTTAGACTTTAAATAAAAACTCCAGATAATTGGTCTTATTTATTTATATTGGAAAAAAACTTATGCTTATTTCGTCTTTAAAATTTTTATACAACTGCATGTTTCTTAAAAAAACAGTCTTACTTGTTCTGGGAAATTCATTTTTTTTCATTATTTTATTAATTCATTAATAAATGCAATTCATTACTTTGAGATATCACTGTTTAATGATATAATAGCCCATTTTTAATTTTTAGATAACTTCTGAAGCTTCTATGATTAGAATTTTAATAATTCAAGATTCTTTTTAATTTTAAAAATTTCACTTCTGGTTATGCAGAAGATATTGAAAATAGAAAATCCGGCACGTTATTTTATTTTACCAATTAGATTATTTTTATTATTATTTTATACTTTTGTTGTTTAAAGGTTTTCCTATTATTTTACTTTTTTAAATATTTACAGAAAAGGAAAAAGTAACTATACTTGGATTTAATTTAATTAAATTTATCTTATTATTTTATTATAAACAATTTGTGCGATAAAATATTTTTTCTACTCCCGTCTGTAAAATACCTAATTACCCACCGATCTAGTGTACGGGAAGCGTCACTTTACCACGTCAGTTTCGTTTCCCATGAATCCGAGCCACGTCGGACATTCCGGGATTTTACCGCACGGATTTGGGAGCATTCGGATATTTTCGGAAATATTTCCCACGCTTTGCATTTTGACGTTTGTCAATTCTGACGGTTATGTCAGTGAATGTATTCGTGTTGTTTTGCGAAAATGTACCCAAAAACTAACGGTCGTAGAAAAAGTATAGTATACAAGACGTTCGGTAAACTTTTTAACTCGTTTATTAAAAACTCGTGAGTCAAATGCCGTTTACCGCACTTGTTGCATAATATACTATTATCAATTATATTGCCGTGAGTAAACATGAGTCAATATAATAAAGACAATATTTAAAGTTAAACTCAAATTAGGTTTTGTTAAAATTAAAAGTAAATTATCTAGTAAATATTATATCATTCCATAGGAGTTTACTTCTGAAAACTTGCAAAAAACTCTATAAGCACCAATTTTACAGTTCTCGAAATATGATGTATGTTTTATACATAACACCGATATTAAAAAATTGAATCGTTTTAAATTAGTCTTCTTTTGAAGAACTAACATAAACATATTTTAACAAATTTACATATTTTTTGGAGGGACTTGACGTATTGTATATAATATACAGGATGTTAACCGTTTTTTTTTTCGGACACCTTGTATAATTAATTTCTGTTAACTGGAAGTATTTTAAGAAACCTGATAATCTTTGGAATATAATATTTCATGTCATTATTCACATAATAGTAACGCATTTAAATTGCGTATTTTACGTCATTTTTAGAAAATGCGCACTTTCGAGGAGGAACATAATATGAATAAGATATTAATGTCGTAATCTCCTTGCTCGCAATTGGAAACCAGATTCGCTGATGCGAATAACAACAAATTTTAAAAATAGACAAAAATATACCTTGACACCTTGTATTTCGAAAACTTTTAGACAACCCCGGAAGTTTTCATGATCCGGTAATGCATTAAGTATTTTAAACAGGAAAACAGACCATATTTGAATAATTTGATATGACAAAGTTATTACAAAGAAATAATTTCATTTACCTGTCCAAGTTTGGCGCGAATCTAGCCTTTGACAACTCTGAACCAGAGACAAATGTAGGATACTAGTTTAATCCTATAAAAATTTTATCTAGAGAAATTACTATAATTATATCTGGGGAAATAAGTAAAAAAAAAAACAAATTATATACATTTAAGTAACTTTTGGATTAAAACATTGCAGGAGAATTAATTGACTTTATAACATTTTGGACTCAGTGATTTGTAGGTATCATATTAGTTAGTTTTGGTTAGTTTTATTTTATTTATACCTGTTAGTCGAGATTTAAAAGATATTTTTTATATTTTATTTTAAATTTATGTAATGGCATGCCGAGAAACTGGTTAAGAATTAAGTTGAAATCTTTACGGTGTTGTATGAAAATAAGCGCTATGGTGTTATGATGTGGCAGAGTTAATTTGGCATTATTTTTAATTTTAATATTGCGGACAGTGTTACGAAATATCAAACGATTTTTTATGAAAACTGACGAATTTGGATTGTTTATTACATTAAACAAAAATGTCGAGCAATGCAAGATTCTGCGCTCATTCATTTTGAGCCATTTGTGATACATGATCAAATTTTTTTCAAACCATACATACACCTAATATATGCATTCTGTACTATATGAACACTTCTTACTTTCCTGATCCAAACAAAAACCACAGACAAAGTCATAATAATTGATATTAGAGATGACCAGGGATTGACACAAACTTCGTTTCAGTTGTTTATTTAAAATATATCTATTATTATATAAAACTTTCATGGAGGCCAAGGATTTTGTAAATATTTTTTAGGTATTCTTTGAATCTAAGTTTGCTGTCTAAGATAGCTCCAAGATTCTTGGCACAATCTTTAAAAAATAATTTTGAGTTCCTGACTATATTTAATTTGTTCTTTACGAAGTTAACATTCTTATCATTGCCATTTACTTGGATCAGTTGCAAGAGACATCTGATTTAAAGTATTGAGGTCATCATTAACGTATATCATCCGCAAAGATTTCAAAATATCAGAAGTATAAATAAGGAAGAGCAGCAGCAACACCTAAAATTGATCCCTCAGGAACTCTGGCTAGAATTTCTACTTTCTCTGAGTATTTATCATTTGAAAAAATTGATTGAAATCTATAAGTTAAGCATGAATCGAGAAGATCAAAAGATTCTGCATTGAAACCGTAATATTGTGGTTTAGCCAGCCACAGCTCGTGATTAATTGCATGGAAAACCTTCAAACAATCTAAAAGCACTAAAACATAATTTTATTTTTATTTTATTTTCACACACTTTGAGAATGTTATCCTTTATAATAGTTAAAGCTATTGACGTACCAAACCCTTTACGAAAACCACAATGAGTATTGAGAATAATATTGTTTTTTATAGAAAAATCGTAAAGTTGTCCATAGAGAATTTTTTCGAATATCTTCGACAAAGCAGGTACTTATGATATGAATGACATTAAAATTTTGATTTGATGTTTTAGATAGCGTTAACAAAGGATAATTTTTTCAAACACTATTTCGATATTATACCCGCAAATTTGACCGTTCTCAAAATATAGAGTCGGTTTTTTTACAACTCAATATTCATAGTAAAATGGTTACCAACTAGTCTTTTCTTGTAACAAACTGTATCTTCTTAATTTTAATTAGCATTAGGCGTAAAAAATCAGTAAAAAACGGGACACCGTGTATTATTCGATATTATACGTAATTTTTTCTTCGAATTATGTAGTCTGATTTCTTTATCACAACTGAATATTCAAAAACAAAGTGGCTCTAACAAACTGTGTAGCCTTTATATCAATTAGTGTTGGCTATACAAAATCGCTAAGGTATTCTGTTAAACCACTATAATAGAATGTTAATTTAACCTGACATGTTAAGTTCAACTTGATAAAATTTGCATAGTTTGAAGATAAAAGTAATAAAATAATAATAAAAAAAAATAACATTCTGAAAAAGGTTATGTGGTATTTTTAGTAATTGCAGAATATTGAGGGAACTTGAAAATATGTAAAGGGTTCGATTTAATTACTGCTTTATTCTTTGGGTATTTTTATAGAAACCATAAATATTTGGTTTTGTATTTGTTGGGAACTTTTGTTCTGTAAATAGCAGCGACATATTTTATTTATTATATTTATTTCAGTCATGTTAATCTCAAGAAATACGAGCTTTCAAGAAAGTAATGTCGCAATTGGAAAGCAGCAACGTTTTTTTTTTTTTCGAAATTATCGAACATGAAAAATGGAGAGGATAATAATTTCTAATTATAGAAACGAACCTGAAACGGCGGCCACTAATTGAGGAAACGTCCCGCGGAATTTATCCGTCACACTACCAGGAAGCAGCATTTTGGTCCGATTTCTTCTTTCTCTTAAGTATCAACGCGAGAACACATTCTCGATTTCTGGTGGCACCACGTCGTAGCCAAAGTCAATTTCGCACTGAAGGTAACACTTGACCTTCGCGGGCCTGAAAAAACTCGTATCGCAGAGGTAAGAATGTAACAGGAGATGCTTACGGGGAGCATAAACTTGTGGCCGTTGGGCCTCTCTGATGTCAAGTGATCCGTACGCAAGATGATAATCTTGTAAGTCAACTGCAGTGTGGTGGCGAATGGTACTCTGTTATAGACCGGTCGGAATGAGTTTTCTATTGGAGCCAAGTGCGAAATCAAAACCTTAAATTATAACGATATAACGATAATGCAAAATTTTCTGGTTTTGGTCATTTATATAGAAAACTCCGGATTACGGATAGGAAATTATTGGTCGACAATGCAAATCTCTCTATTTGTGGTCATTGGTATTGACGTCCGCTTTACGGATTTACTGTCGAGGCATTATATAAATTGGGAACTTATATTCTAAAAATATTCACGAAAATCTACATCTACTCAAAATCAATTTAAATCCTGGAATCGAATGTCTTCTTAGTAGCGTTTGTTACTGAGTTATGTATTTTATTGCACTGGAGTTAAACCAATAATCTATATATAATTATCCTATATTTAAAATTATATTAAGGCAAAAAAGAGACCAAAAATACAATGCTATAGAACCCATGTGGAGAAAACACAATGGGCTTATAATAATAATATTAATAATACGTTTATTTTAGACACAAACAATTTGTATAGCAATAGTCAAATAGAAACGCATACAATGAGATAGATAGAAAATAAAAAAAACAATTACTTAGCACATAATAAAAAGCTAATTTAAAAATAACTTTTTTCTACTAGCTTCTGCAAAATATCTAATTATACGCCTATCTAGTGTTATTTTACTACATCAGTTCCGTTTCCCACGCAGCAATCGGATGTTTTCGGATCTATTTCCCACGCCTTTAATTTTGACGTTTGTCAATTCTGACGGTCATATCAGTGAATGTATTCGTATTGTTTTTCGAAAATGTACCCAAAAACTAACGGTCGTAGACAAAGTATAGTAGGCAACACTTTGCATAATATACTAATTTGAAACTCTTATATACCGTGTTCAAATACAAAGTTTGCATAGGCCGGATAACGTATTTATTAAATTTATTTCTACTAAATTGAGAACTCGGTACCCCAGCCATTTAACGAATATGTTTTTCTGTGCCAAAAATAGTTCTGCCCATAGCGTAGACTTCCTAGTATTATTCAAATTATTGCAATAATTGTGACTCCGTTAGTATAGTTTGTAAATTCCCCAACATATAAATATTCGAGTTCAATCGAGAAATCAGGAGCTCGCAGTGATTTTTATAGTTAAAATTCTAATCTATAAAAAATCTACAAATTCAACACTCTCAGACTGAGCTATTGGACAATCAAAGTGGGATTAAAGATTATTTTATGAGGGTGTTGGAAGCTTAAAAAACTCATTGTTGTATTTATTTAAGAATTAAAATGTAATAGCACGAAACTTTCTATTCATCAATCTGAGAGCATCATCGTGTAGCTCAAAAAAAAAATAATGAAAATAATGAATGAAAATAATTTAAAGAAATTATTGAAAAAATGGTATTTTGTTGTTGACAAATTAATAATATGAAAAATATTGCTCAAAAATTCATAAACCATAGCTATACTATCGTTAATTTGCTAGTGGTATCTCCGATACCAAAAGTAAAAAAAAAACTATAAACAATAAAAAATCTAAATATTTTTCACTACGCTAAGTTAAGAACAAAAATGACCATTCATCTAGATAAAGACGTAATTTGAACCAAATAAGAGAAATACGCCGCTTTGAAATTTTTACGAAATAAATGTTATAATTAATATATCTATATAATTATAAACAGAGTTCAAACCATTCTACATTGTGTATATTGGGATAAAAACCATTACCTTCTCTAAGTAAGGGGTGTTTTTTTTCGATGTATAGAACTTTAAGTTGCAATAAATCATCGATGGATTATTCTATTGACATGAATTCTATTTATCCGAAAGATAATCTTGTGGCATTACATTTTAAATATGATTTCTGGCACACGATCGCCACGGCCAATCGCCAATTTTCGATGACTTTTTCCAACATTTGTGACCGTATATCGGCAATAACACAGCGGATGTTGTCTTTCAAATGGTCAAGCGTTTGTGGCTTATCGGCATAGCCCAATGACTTTACATAGCCCCACAGAAAGTAGTCTAGCGGTGTTAAATCAAAACATCTTGGAGGCCAATTCACAGGTCCAAAACGTGAAATTAGGCGGTCACCAAACCTGTCTTTCAATAAATCGATTTTGGCACGAGCTGTGTGACATGTTGCGCCGTCTTGTTGAAACCACATCTCCTGGACATCATGGTTATTCAATTCAGGAATGAAAGAGTTAGTAATCATAGTTCTATACCGATCACCATTGACTGTAACGTTCTGGCCATCATCGTTTTTGAAGAAATACGGACCAATGATGAAGTGCGCTTCAGCGCTAAAGAAAATTCGCTTATGAAAATCGGCAACAACGGCAATCTCGTTTTGGGACCATTCGACGAATCTACGCCTTACTTGATGATCGATTGGCTTCAATTCTTGCACGAGTTGGATTTTGCAAGCACGTAAACCAAGATCCTTAAGCAAAATCTTCCATAAAGTGGATGCACACGGATCCAATTCCTGTGCTTGATGGCGGATGGACTCATTCGGGTCTTCCTCAATACTACGCTCTACAGCAGCAATGGTTTCTTCTGTACGCACCGTACGGCGTCTCTGGGGATGCGATTTATCAATAAGAGTAAACGAGTAAAGAGTGGTGGTGCTCTGATGGACGATTTTGTCGACGATAAAATGGACGTAGTGCGCGATACGTATTCCGCACAGAACTATTATTTTCGAAATAAAATTGGACTATTTGCAAGCGTTGTTCAGGCGTGAGTCTATTCATGATGAATTGCCAAAACAAACTTAGAATAAATCACTTGACGGCTGTTAAATCGGTCGCCATCTTGAACAGTAATGCCAACTGAAAGTTTTATACATCGAAAAAAAACTCCCATGACAAGCAATTTCGGTTGTACTTAGGTAACGTCCTAGTAACAGGAAAGATGCTACAATATAATAATCTATATTCTTTTTCTCCGAATTTAACGCGTTTGCGCTTATTTTCGATAGTAGTTGATAGTTTTGAAATTTTCTTGAGTAATTTTGTGGATTTTGTGGAAAAGTAATAGTTGTTTTGCAACTTTTAAGACATGAATTTTTCAGTTGCAAATTTTTATGTAGACTTTTTAGCTGCTTGAGAAAATGTGGAAAGTGAGTAAATTTTGAATGAATATTTAAAAAATCTTTAGATAAAGAAGAAGATTGGAATACCGTCATATAAAGCATCATAGAAATCCTTATGAAATTCCTAAAGTAGCCAACAGAAATGTATTAGCTGAAATACCATTATACTATTTATACAAGTTGGGTAACGAAGGCACAATAGTCATCTTCATTTGCAGGTAAATAAAAAGTGTAATATTAAAGTTATGACATTATTTCATTACTTTATAACTTGTTTCCTGAACTAAAACTCAGTTTCAAACAAGCAAGTTCAATACATCAGCATCGACGAAGGAGGAACCCAGAAGATTTGTAAATAGGAAGTCAGTAATTATATGGCAGTTCACCTCTTGGCCAGATATATTAACTTTATCATCTGTATTCTTCTTTTCCAATAAACTTTTTTCGTTCCTCCATTATGGTATCTAAAAATCCAGTATGTTAGAGCATATTTTGATATAAATAATCTCATTTTGCAGAGCATAATATGAAGATCACTTAAAAAAGTAAGAAGACTAAAGGACTCCTGATAACAATCATATATTGAAGACTCATCTGTTGCAAACCACATATCGTTTTCCTTCCATAAATAAAGATTTGATGAAATTAATAATAATAACATTATCAAAATTGAACGCAGTTTTTTTTTTAACTTTTTCATATTTGCAATTGTCTGAGCACTCTGACATAAAGCCGAGCCGATTTGTACTTGAAAAATTTTATTATATAAAACCATTTATTCGATACGATTTTGCAGAAAATTGAAACAAAACACTCAATAAAATTGAAGTTTAAAGCAAACTGAAAATACGTTTTTCTTATCGGGTACCACTTGTGTATCCCAAACGATTGCTTCATAACCCAAAAAGCCATACACCTTTTGTTTAATCGATCTTGTTTATTTTTTGCTTTTTAAAAATAATCTGGTTATTTGCAAACGCAACATACGGAACAAACTGTTATCGTGTACTATACACTATGCAGGAAATCAGCAAACGAAACATAAAAACTACAGCACAATAGATATCGATTGATCATGCTACCGAAAGGCTACAGGAGAGCGAGACACTTAAATATTACAGAAACTAAAGCATACAAAGAGTAGTGATCAAACCTCACTAGAAACAGGTGCAGCATAAGAAAATGTATTTATCATAATATATCGGAACCGTTAACAAAAACGCTTTAGAACCCGAACTCACCGGACTAAATTCAGTCTTTTTATTGCATTCAAACCGTTTACTTCTAAACTTGAAATATTACTCGAGTTACGTGGTTCGAATAACTTTCTTTGTCTTTGTTATTGATACTATTTTGCAGGCAATTTCGGGCGACGTGAACCTATTCCGAACGATAGATTGAGTTTTATTTCGCGAAAGTTTATTTCCCAAAAATATATCTAAAATTTCAGTTGCTGTCGCATTCAAATAATATGTTTGTTCTTCTTCAATTTTTGCTTGGTTGTAGAGTTTTCTTTATTTTTGGATGGATGGATTTACAATATACAATATACACAAAATGCTGTATATCATGTTTGATGTTCTGAAATGACCACCAGAGGGCATAATTGCCATCTCGAATTTTAAAATCCGGTTTCCTAGTTTAATGGTACTTAGAGTGAAGCAGAGACAAATTCCAATCTTCGGTGCTTGTTAAAATCTCTTAATTATCCACCGTTTTATCGAATGTAATCTAATCTTTTAGTTTTTTACTGAGATTTCACTGCTCAGCGAAGAATGCAAAAATGTGCTCCAGTGCAGACATAGGTTTCGACCCTAATCCTGTGGTAATTATTTCTTCGCTTACACTTAATAAAGAAAAGAGACCCAATACCAAAAATTAATATGCAACAGCTAAAACAAGGAACGAAGA